CTCATTACTGAATAATAATTTTACTCCTAAAAATATAAATCTTGAATTTCAATATCACTAAAAGTCTGTGATTTGGGCCCTTTTGAGAGAGAATATCAAAAAGGGAGGAGGGAGGCAAGTCTGCAAAAGTGGTAACTCCAGACCTCACATCGCGGAAAATCAATAGGGAATGTCTGTAAGTGATGAATTAATAAATACCTACAGAAGTGGTTTTAAATACAGAGGTACAGCTGAAGAGTTAAAGATGTTAGAAGGGATTGTCTCTAAGCAATGAGAGGGGGAGGTGGGGGACCAGGGAGGTGGGGGACCAGGGAACTGGGGTGGCTGTGGTCCTGTGGCACCGTGAGACATAACGGTGCCCTTGGGTACCTTGTGAGCAATGAAGATGAGACTCAAAAATTAAATGCTGCCCATCGGAAATTATCCTTAGAAACTTTGAAGCTGGAATCCCATACCACCACGTAATCAGTGGTCAGACTAGAGAAAGTGGCTGTTAACGAGTCTGGATGAACGTCTAACAGGGGCTTTCTACTGATGGTCGCCACAGGTTGCAGTGTGACTGAGCATCAGCTGTGCCTGGGGTGTGGTCCCAGCCCACTCTGGCTCACTGAGCTGGAGGTACCTCTCGGGTACCTCTTGCCACATGTGATAAGCCTGGCCTTGTCCAGAATGTGTTAAAAAGCTTCTCATGATTATCTCATTCTTAAGCTCGAAGAGCCTTCAATGTCTTCCCAACCATCCTGCCAAGCTCTGATTACTCTTGCTCCAGCCAGGGTCCCTGAGCCTTTCCACCTGCCTCAGGATTCTGTTACTGTTGACTGACTCTTGCAGTCTCAGACAATCATTTCTATTCTGTATCATGTCTTCCCTCTTGGTTTCCAACCTGCCCCCTTCTGTCTGTCCACACTGGCCCAGTCCCTGCCACCTGCTGTCACTCAAGCCCTGCCCCACAGGGAATCTCTTATTTCCAATTTGGTATTCTCATCCAATGCGCTTTACCCTCCATAGCACTGACCTTGATCGCAAGTACAAATTGCAGCTATTTCAATAACCTTAAGGTTATGAGACCATCGGTCTTGCAAATGCATGGCATTGTTCAATGAGGTCTACAGGGAATAATAGAAATAAAGTCATGGATGAGGAAAATTATGGTGTGCTAGTGGAAGCAGTGTCCCGTTATCTGCAGGCACTAAAGTGACATTAGATTTTATTTATCTAGCATCTTCCATGCTCAGGCACACAATACTCAGGCTTTACCATAAAGCACATCCTGTCCCTTGAGGACTTTGCATATGGAGTAGTATTGGGCACAAATGAGAAGAGCAACCAATCACTTATCTATTTATTTAACAATTATTTATTGAGCACTATGTTCTGGGGCCAAAGTTTACAGAGATGGAATGGTTTTAGCCCGCTTTTGTGGAGCTCATGGTCATTTGGAGCAATGGAAACCCACAATATTAATGCTGTAAGCTCCATGCTTCTGGAAGTGCAAGGTGCACTGGGGGAGTGCTTGCATTATTGTTATGACCAAAAAATCCAGCAACTGGGCAGCAGCCTCTTCAGAATGAGGCTTGGAGAGGGTTAACCCGGCTTTGCAGCATCCAAAGTTCATTCTTTATACACTACTCATTAAAAGCCCGTAAGGTCACACCCCCTGAGCATGCTCACTTATCAATTCTGTCTACAGGCCACTGGATTCATAGACTGTGTACCTCTTAAAGTTAACTAAAATAGACATTTAAAAGGATGAGCTTTTAAAGATAAGTGGAAATGGAAAGTCTAATATCCTGTGCCTCAGTAGCTCCTCTTCAGGAACTCTAGAGTAGACACCTCAGCTCCAATACCACCAGTGCAGCCCTCACCATTGCTGGTCAAGAATCTGGATTTAATAAATTTTCCCAGAGGTCTGGGACAACTCACAAGCAACAACTCCAACGGTATCACGTAGTAAGCATGCCTCTTATGCAAAGCATGATTGCCTGTGAAAGGGTCCATTCAAGAGACCAGATTAAACTGAAGTTGCTTAGTGAGGATAGAATTAGAACAAATGGAACCGTGGTCCACAGAGATGTTTCATCAAAGTAGAATAACTGATAGAGCCGCCCTTCTCCTCTCTGGAGATATTTCCTTCTGAATAACTAGCGTTGGACCTCAAATAAATACTGGCATGTTTTACTTTTAGCTTTCCTGTTTCTAGAATCATTTGAGACAACTGCCCTTCTATTAATATATCACCACCTCAGAAAATAAGAATGCACTTGATTGGATTGAAACTTTAAAATGTTAATTACATTCCTGTCCTGGGGATCCAGCCTAAAGAGACAGAACTGCTTTGCTTCAGGCTGAAGGCTGGCTGAGGACTTTGATCAGTGCTGGCTCCAAGGGCTCTCACCCAATTAGATGTGCAGACTCCTTCTGGCCCCAAGTGACTCATCTTCATTCCCTGTAGGCTTTGGGACTTTCTGATGGGGGGAGAGGGTTGCTCATTTGATTTAGGTTTTCTCGAGAGTCCTTCGTTTCTAGGCAGCTGGTAAAGATGAGCCTGTGCTTCTCTTGCTGTACAGGCAGCCAGATGCTGACCAAGGAGGGTAGTGAAGACCCGCTCTTTCCCATCATCACCCTACCCAATATCATACAATTGTCTTCTTCTCCAAAAGAAAATAACCTATTTCCACCCGCTCCATGGAAGCTATGATTTTGCAGTTAAAAAAAAATTTCAAAACTGCACTGAAACTTCTGGACACCTCAAGAGCAGTCAGCCCCACCACCGTGTTTACCTTACTCCAGACCTTTACAGAGATCTTGCTGGGTATGAACTGCCTGCTGACCTCCAGGACCCAAGAAAACACTATGAACAACTTTATGTCTGTAAATTCAACAATTTGGCCTAAATGTACAAAGTCCATACAAACCCAGACCAAATCCAGAGTAAATAGTAAAACTAAACTTAAGTTGAACCATTCAGAAACCACCAATTCACTTCAACTAGAAACTTCTTTTCTATCCCCAATAATCAGGAACTTTCTACATTAACCAAGGAAATTCAGTCAGCCCTCCACAACCATAGGTTCTGAATCCAAGGATTCAGCAACTGCAGATAAAAATAATTTCTAGAAAATAAATCACATCTATACAAAACCCATACAGATGTTTTTCTTGTCATTATTCCCTGAACATTACAGTATAACAGCTATTTTCATAGCATTTGTATTGTATTACGTATTATAAGTCTTCCAAAGCTGATGTAATGCACACATTGTAAGGTTATATGCAAACATTTCTGCACTTTCTACAAGGAGCTTGAGCATCATGGATTTTGCTATCTCTGGGGTTCCTGGAACCCGTCTCCATGGATACCCATGTGCCCCTGTCTTTGTGCCTTACCCAAGTTCCCTCGCCTGCGTTCCGGGCCAGTGCAGCGCTAATCACTTGCAGCCTGCTGCCTGGGTTAGGAGCCACGGAGGCCCAACCAAACTCATTAAAATGTTAAGGTGCCCATCATGTATTTGTCTTTGAACCAACCCACGTTTATTGAGATATCCCAATATCCCAGATGTCTCTAAAAACAGAACAACATTAATTAAATAAGAAGGTATTTTAACATTCAGAGTAAAGATATGTTTTATCTAAATTTATGACTTTAACATAACAGTACTAACACAAAGTTACTTTTATTTAAGAATGGTATTTGAATTTAATATTGCATATGTACATAATTTTCATAAAAGAAAGGGTATATGAGTACGAACTAATAAAGTGAACTTTCATTCATTGTGTTCTTTGAAGAAAAGATACAGCAAATATCATTTTAAAAAAACACAACACTTTAGAATTACTATGAAAGTCCAAACCTTTGGTAACTGCTTTAAAACCTGCCTGTGTGACTTAGTCTTAAACTGTGATGCTGAATGTGCTCATTTAGAAGGGACTTCTCCTTGGAGAAGCGGAAAGCCAAGCCATGGTCTTCTACTAAGTCCTTGGTCCATCTGTCCTGGGGGAATCTGAGTAATCCAGTTTGGTGTTCTGATTTTGCCCTGGGAATTGCTTCACCGCTGGGGACATGACTACACTGTCAGACAATGGGTGGAGATTGTTGATGGGTACATTTTGTCTTCCCCTGGAGCTCCTGAGTGGAGGCTGCCTCTGGTGAGCCTCTGGTGGGCTCAACTCTCCACTGTCCATTCCACCAAACACCCCACAGTCCCAGCTGCACCCCGAGTTCCCAAGAAGGAGCTGGGTAGAGAAGCACTCTTTCTCTTTATGGCAACTTACATCTGAGGCTTGGAGCAAGAAAGCATGGATACTGCCCCAGCCCAGCCTAATTATTTCTCCCTTTTTCAGCTCCTAAGTAAAAGGCTCTGGGCTCCCCACTTGTATTCCTGAAGCACCTGCACCTGGTGTCTGAGCACCTGCTGATGCAGAAGCGGGCTCTGATTATTCCAAGGCAATGGTGGATGAGAAGGAGGAATAGAGACCAAACGTCCATTTCCTCTTCATCATCCTTTGATCTAGCCCACATGCTTCTTGCAGCAGACCAAAGCCACCAGCCACAGGCACAAGTTCAAAATGGCCTCCATCTACCCACCATATACAGTAGGCTGGGGGGGGGGGCGCTTCTCTGGGCTTTCACCCCTCTTGGTATTGACTACCTAGAGCCCCTGGGACTGCCCTTGTTAGGAGCCCCAGTTAGCAATTATTAACAAAATATTTTATAGACATTAATATTTCATCTATTTTATATAAATTTATTATTTGTGCATGCTTTTAATTGTATATACATTTTATATGTTGAAATTTAAGTAATATACATAAACCAAACATGAAGTATTTTATAGACACCTACATGTTTGTGGGCATTTAGTGAATTCCTTTTGACAGGATGAGGGAAGTGAGGATATTGCTGATGGTGGTTGGTTAAGCTCAAGAAATGGGTCTCTCTCATGGGATTACCTTCATCGAGGTGTAAATCAACCTGGATTTTTCTTTTCTCTCCACAGGGAACTACTGGAATGCCGCCTCGTTCCCAAACCCGTCATCCTACCTGCACTTCTCTACTTTCCAAGGGGAAACGAGCGCTGACATTTCTTTCTACTTCAAAACCTTAATCCCTCGGGGAGTGTTTCTGGAAAATCTGGGGAACACTGATTTCATCAAGCTGGAGCTGAAGTGTGAGTATCGGTTCTCTTGTTAACGCTCCAAGAGCCCCTCTGTGGCCTCGGGGTCCTAGGCCAGAGTGTGCAGTGCCATGCCGGGAACATGACGGCTCTTGTTCCCGGAGCAGGACCAGAAGGTGCAGGCCAAACCTGAGCCCTGTCCTTGGGACACACCCAAAGAAGCAGGTGCAGGCAGAGGTACCAGGACCCAGTTATCAGGAAGACCAGAGAGAACACGCCGCCCTAATGTCATGGGAAGACAACACACACACGTGCGGTTCTTTTTAAAATGTGGTTGTTTCCCAAGGAGACAAAGGAGTGTATGAAGCCATCTGAGGAACACAGGAATGATAAAGAGGATGCTGAGTATGCAGTTTTCCCAAAGAAGCCCCCACCCACACACCCTGTAAAAGATTCTGGATTTATTTAGCCAAGGAGACAGAAGCTATCAGAGGCAGACCCAGATCAGATGCTGCTTAGCTCAGCTCTGCTGGCCTCACCTCCCAAGACCAGAGGAGGCCTGGCTTCTGTGGGAGAGCTGTGTTTGCTGCACCTGAGAAATGCAATTCTTGCTTTGCCAGGGTCCTGGTGTCCCCACAGCCTAAGTTCAGCTTTAGGAACTTTCAAGCCACAGATGCCAGGTCCCCTGCCTATTGAGATAAGTCAGAGTCCACAAGATCACAGACTATGTCCGCCACCCCACCCCAAACCTCCTCCCTCCACAGAACCTCAGCCTCCTGCCTGCCTTCTGTCCCCTTTACCTGAGTGCTTAAGCTACAGGGTCTCATGCAAGAATGACCCCAAATCCATTTCCCAGTATTATCTGATGGAATATTTTTATGCAAAATGATATTTTAAAAAGAGATTCTCAGGTAAACATCTTTCTGCTGCAATTCATTGGATTCTATTTTAGAAAACAATAGACTATGATATGCAGAAAGGCAATAAGTTTTAGAGTTGGCATCTCAGGTTCAAATTCAAATTTTGGGTAAATTGCATGATCTTTTTTGGATCTCAATTGCCTAAACTGTAAAATGGGGATGCTAATTTGTGCAGGTTTTTATGATAGCATTTGTTTCAGCATATAGTAGCTGCTGGAATTCTCTTCCCACAGTTGCTCATCGCAGATCTGAGCTAAGCCAGATCAAATTGAAAGGGAGCCTGAGGATATGCTGTCTCGAAGGTGGGCTCCACCATCTACAGGTTTCAAACAAGCTTTTAAGGCAGAAACCCACAAGTGAGAAGGATTATACCAGTTGTTTGTCAAGAATTGGATTTGGGTAGGCAGGGTGTCAAGAGGTCTGTAAGAAAGGGGTCAGGTATCTTAAAGCATCTTGGAGAGGGAGACTGGGGGAAGGACAAGAAAGGAAGAATTTCTTGGAAGGGAAGGAGCTGGGGTAGATGACCTTGGTGGCTCAGTGTAGGACTGGAATGTTCTGCTCTAAGGAAAGCTATAGCTCTGAGCATGTGAAGCCCAGGCCATGGTGAGTCTGGGCCAGGTGGGGACCTACTGAGAAAAGATGTCCATCAGCACAGGGTCAAAAGTTATCTGAGGGAGAGGGGTCTGAGGCCTGATTGCTTGTGTCCTCTTGGCCTATCATTTGGGGGAGGGAGCCTCAATCCTCTTTGTCCTTTACTTTCGATTTCTTTCACAAGAGATGTGAAAAAACAACCTGACTGGCCTTCTGCCACCCCTCCCATCACAGTGTTTAACTCTGTCTCTTGCCCACCAGGGTCCCTCCCAGGCCCACTTCTCCCCGTGTTCTGCTCTTCCAGCAGTGGCTAGCTGGCAGAGGGCTCAGGAAGGGTCGTTTCTGCTGTCAAACTTTTGTAAACTGTCTCTACTTCCCCCTCTTTAGTTTGCTAGGCTTTCTGATATCTCTGTGATAGGAATTCAGATTTTGTCTCTCTACATGTGTCTCAAAGGAATTTTGTCACAGTGTCTGCCTGCACGTTGCTCTCCAGAATCGCAGTCCTGTTAATTAACTACATTGTGCCCTTCTGTCGAGAATGGAAGATTCTTGATTTGGGGAACAGTGAGCCTGTGTACAATAAGTTAATGAGATGCCACCAACATCTTACGTGCAAGCAGAAAAACATGCAAGATAAAATTAGGGCAATCTTCCCCGTTAGCATACTTCAAAAGTAAAATCCTAACTTTGCATCCCACTTGTTACTATTTATTTGTCCAGTGAGCATTTACTGAGTGTCTACTATGTCCCAGCCACTGTGGTGGGTGCTGAGGAACATAGTCAAATCGAACATGGTTTCTTTACCTCAAAGACGTGTCTGTTTTGGAAAAAAGACAAGTAAATCAGTGGTTACGGGGCGAGGAAGTCACCCCATCAGGTCACAGAGTGCACAAGTGGAGAGCTGGCGTTCCACCCCAGACATTTTATGTCTGTCCTAGAGTCATCCTAGAACACTCTGCCTCTCACAACAGACAGGGAGAGAGCGGCCTGGGTGCCAAGGGGGAAATTCAAACCTGACTGGAGTGACAGCAGGTGCTTCCCAGGGACTGTGATGCTTTAATTAAATTTTGATGGATGAGCAGGAGTCAGGAAGGTAAAGAAGGTGAGGGAAGAACAGGAATCGGGAAGGAAGGATGTTCCAGTGTAACACCGAGGGGCTGAAAACGCAGGCCACCACACCAAGGAAGCCGGGAGGCTGCAGGTGCAGAAGAAGACCCTGTGCAGAAGAAGGGGCAGAGCTAGAGCTGGGGGACAGGAGTGGCTGAGCACCCAGGGTCTCCTCAATCCTCACCATACAGTGAACTGGGGCAGAACAGGATGAGGCTCACATTCACCCAAAGAAAGACCGGCAGCCGGATGTGTTAGTCCATTTCTTGTCGCCATACTACAATGCCTGAGGCAGCCTGACTTGATAGAGGATAATTGAGCTCATAGCTTGGGATGCCAGTCCCCTGGGTGTGGCCCTGCTGATGTGAGGCCCCTCTCGACTGCACCACCTCGCGGTGGATTGTGGTGCTGGTTACCCATGCAGGCCTGAGTAAGCATGTGACCAAATGGCCAGTCACAGAGGGGTCAGGTTTGGGCTCCTAAGCACCACCCAGGAGGCTCCACCTCTGAAGGTCCCACTGCATCCCCCCTACCCCGGCCACTGGGAGCCAGGTTTCAACCACACCAACCTCTGCAGGACAAACCCATCCCAGCCACAGTGCAGACCAGGAACCAAGGGGGCTGCATGAAGGGAGTAGTGGGAGAACGGAAAGAGGGAGACAGCAGGCAAGGCATGCCTGGGAAACTCAGAGGGAAGGTTCCCGGGTCTTCAACAACACAGCCCGAAGCTGAACTGGAAGGACCCAGAATGAGGCTGCTCTTTCTGCTTCTGATGCTGTGGGGGCGGGGCACTTCCTGCTCAGGAGGGTGGTATTTAGGGCAAAGTACATTTTGAACAGTTCAGTGAGAGCCTCTGTGGCCACTGAGGGCCTAAATAGGCAGGCACTTCCTGAGCAGGCAGAATGTCCCCATGGAGCCCACAGAGGACTGTTAGAATACAACAGTTACTAATAGGGCATCATGTAAAAATGTGGATGTGTAACCAACGTGATTCTGCAATCTGTATTTGGGGTAAACTTGGGAGTTCAAAACCCACTTGAATCAAATGTATGAAATATGATATGTCAAGAGCTTTGTAATGTTTTGAACAACCAATAAAAAAAGAAAAAGAAAAAATAAATAAAGAAAGAAATAGCGTCTAGGAGTTATCACCCCCAGGGAGGAAGAATCTGATGCACTGAGCCTGGATGAGATTGCCCAAAACAAAAGGGCAGAGAAAAAAGTGAGAAGCCCAAGAATGAAAACCCCCGTCAAGGGTCGTGAGGAGGAAGAACGGCGGTTAGAAGATGGGCTTCCAAGGAGGGAGACAGGGGTATCCCAGAGAGGGAGTGAAGAGAAAATTTCAAGAAGAATAAGAGAGTGTCAGGTACTGCCGAGAGGTCACTAAAACAAGGACACAGAGTGACCACTGGGCTCAACATGGGAAGGTCACCCTCCAAGAAGTAATTAAGGACGGTGGGCGTAGTTCAGTGTTAGAACGCTTGTCCAGCATGTGCGAGGCCCTGGGTTCTGTCCCCAGCGCCACAAAGACAAAAAGGTCAATAAAAAAATTTAAGGAGTAAGGCAATCTGTCGCAAGGGGGCAAAACTGCGACACATGCGGTAGAGGGGAGAAATAAAGAATATCCACAGGCCTCTGCCCCTTTCGATGCTTTATTCACTCAAATTACTCAATACAATTTCACTCTATAGGTGCTTAATCAAGAAAACGGCAATCCTTAATGCTGGGCACTGCAACAGACATAATAATTAATTCACAGCAAACAATTCTAGATTAATTCTAAGCACTGCAAAACACACTTAATCATGATAGGCTAATGACAGACATTCCCTCTGCGGGCTAAGTTCAAAGTCTTAAGTCTTAGGCTTTATGTCCAGCAGATGCCCACTCACTCAGACCATGATGATCAGTGATCAGGTCCCAGGTCCGGAACCAAGGCAGGCTTTTGCTGGCATGGAGTGGACAACTGGTTGAGGAGGGGGTCGTAGGGAGGAGTTGCGGCTCTCACTGCCGCAGTCTGGCTGGGCACAATTCAGGAGCCACTTGTCAAAAGAAAGGAACTTTATTTTTAGAACCACACACGCCAAACAAAACAGCTCCTCAGGAAAAACCCTCAGAGCCCAACTGCCACCACCGGCTTCCCACAAGCCTCTCCACCTCCCCCACTGCTCCTGCTCTTGAGGCCGATTGGCTGGGTCGCGTGGGCGGAGCCAAAAAAGTCCCCCAATGAGCAGCTCCGTAGTCTGAAAGGGCGGGGAAACAGCCCAATGAGCATCACCGCAGAGGAGCCAATCAGCTAGATGTTGCTGGGGCCGCTGTGAGCCAATCATCAGCTGGCAGTCTGAAAGTTTGCTGGGGCCCCTTCGGCTGTGGCTCTCAACACTCACCAAGGTCCAGATGAGGCGGTAAAGTTTGAGAGCGGTGAGGATCATGCAG